CATTGGTTTAGTATTGGATCAATTAATCGATGAACATGATCCAACTTTGGTTATTCGTTGTGCTCAGATTGATCTTCGAGTTGACTTTAGTGATCGTTATCCACACAAAAAGATCATCCGAATCATCGACGAGAGGTAAGTAATAGGAAAATATTTTTCGACTATATAGCTTCCTTTTGATTGATTGTAGAATGGAAACCATACATGATGTACGCCGATATTTAAGACTGAAGACAAGTAACTGACTTGCTTCATTTTTGTTTCGTTGTTTGTGTGTCCGTTGTCTGTTTGAAATTATACACTGTTTTTTTTTGTTGCAATGTATAATTGAAAATAAATAATAAACTTTGTCTTTACGAATATAACGCAGTACAGTAGGAACACGTAGCTACAGATAAAACACTTAATGTTCGAGGAACAGGATAAGTTTTGTATTGTTTCACACACAAGTTTGCCAATAAATTTCAAGAACGAGTTTAAATCGGTCTAACAATTCTTCTATATTTGAATTGCCATTATTCTTGTAGATTTATAATTTTATCATGGATGCTATGCAGAGAAACGTCGAGAACGACGAAGACGGCAACGTCAACGACATCTTCAAGAGGAAGACAACTCAGCGTTGCGATCCATTTTGAAAGAGCATGTTTTTCTTCGTGAGAAAAGTTATCAACAACAAATCATTCTCGATGAATTAAAAGAAAAGATAGAACCATTGTATGCTTTACCTGGGAAAATTTACGACCATCTCGACCAAATTGCTTCTGGTTTTGGTGCTATTCAAAACCGGCTTGGAGAAATTCATCTCGAACGTCCTGAGGGAGGTCTACCGTATCGAGGACTCTGAAAGATGGGCCTTTCATTGTTCGTTCTTATTTTGGTTGTATTGTGTTCTCTCGTTACCGTTGTCGACATGTTTTTTTTATATCTGTTTGCTACATTTGCGAAATACAATATAACCTGATCTAGTAGAGTTCTACGATGCAACTTGAGGTATGCTTTTTCTCACATAGTGAAGTTTGTAAATGTCAGTACGAATACAAAGAGTCTACCGGTGTCATGAGAGATGCACAGAAGTCAGATGAAAAGCACTTGAAAACACGATTGCAAACTGAGAAGGATTTATTTCGATTTTGTTGACTTGTACGAACAACGAGGCTGATAGCTGATGGTTACTTTTGTGCTCTAGAAGGGTTGACATGATAAAAGAATATTTCACATGAAATACAGCCATGTTCCATATCGGTTTTGCTCTACAAATAATAGTTAACCGCTGGTTGTTTTTCGCTTATTCTTGTAGATAATCATCTTTTTTGCGGAATATTTGCCCAAATCAACTCTTATCATGGATGCTACACATGCAAATGAAACCAAAAATTGGGATATTGGTAAGTATTTATGACACCACTGTGATTGAGCGTAGATCGTTTGGTTTTCATTNCATGGATGCTACACATGCAAATGAAACCAAAAATTGGGATATTGGTAAGTATTTATGACACCACTGTGATTGAGCGTAGATCGTTTGGTTTTCATTAAAGAAATGCAACATGCTTGTCCTGGAATTTCATCTTCACAAAAATCTCGACATCGCCGTCATCGTCATTCTCGTCAGCAACAAAGGAAAGCTTATATTCAGCAGATCATGCATGAACAAGCTGCACTTCGGCAACAGAGCCAACAACAAGAGTTGGAAATCATCCGACTACAAAGTTTTATCCAGAAATTTCGTGATTTCACGAAAAAGATCGACGATGAAGTGGAAACTATGGTCCACGGTACTTGCAGGGTACAAGCTTCATTGGAAGAGATCGACTGCAAACGAAGAATGGAGAAGTTACGACACGAACAAAGAGAACATATTTAAACTTTTTTGTCGAATTATTCTTTGTTCTTAGATCTATCCGAAATGAAATAAAATCTCATCTGAAAGACATCTGATATTGTATTTGTTGTCAGTACAATATTAGATGTCGTTTTTTTTTGCCTTTGGATCCGAGAAAAACTAGCTTATTTTACATGTATAATGTTGCGTTCAATCAAGTTCATGTAGATTATGACATTAAAAAAAACTTTTCCTCTAGTATGCTGTATCAGAGTAACTCTTCTGTGGTATCAAATGCGATTGTTTACTTTTCACGAACTATTGTAGATCTGGGAATCGACGGTGAACTTTATTTTTGCTCCCACATTCAGAGAAGAAAATGTGTCAAATTATTCGTGCTCGAAAGGATTATATCGATTTACGGCCTATACCAATTACCGGTCCTGTAAGAATATTGCGGATACACTGAATCACAATGTGTTTTATGTGTTTTAGAAAAATTATAGTTATCGCTGGAAAATGATGGCATTGTTAGATTTCAACGATCATGGACAGGTAGTAGGAGGTCGAATTTACTCTTTTTTTTGTTGCGTAAATTGAAGGTTTCTCATATGTATTTTTTATCATAGTATATACTACCATTCTCCAGACGAGTGGTGAACATTCCGCAAGAATTATGGTCAAGACGTAACAACCAGCCGCCACCTGAAGGTTATGAACTGTGCAAATGTACAAATTGCGAAGAGAAAACATGGGAAGATCATGTTTTCAAGGATGATCTTGACGATGAAGTTTCAGTGTATGGTAACCTACATTTGGAACGTGTACACTCGTATACGAACAACAGAAAGTAAGTTTTGGATATACTGTAACTTGTTTGAATCTTGTATTTACGAACTATGTCTTTCAGTGCATTAAATAACTTTATATCTGCGCGTTCATAATCTACATGTGTTTATTCATGTTACAAATAATAAAATCAAACAACAGAATGCAAATTGTCTTAATGTGTATTTTCTTCCGATTGATCACTTTTTCCCTCTCTTTCAACATCCACCATTATTAAATATGAATGATGTCTAGTTGACATCTCAACACAATTTGAGCAATGTACTGCGAAGTAAGATACATCATGGCATGTATAGAAGAACTTGTCTCGGGAAACGGAGAAGAATAGGATACAAAAGTAATTCGGCTTTATCACATATTCAGACTCCATACCATGTGCTGGTCCTGCTAATGTGATATGCTATGCATTCTAAGTAATAAAGTGAAGAAGAAGGAATGGAAGAGGAGGAGGAATATGGCGTCGCTCGACTCATGTTATATAAACACTGATGTTCAAACTCAGTTCATTTCTATTGGTAATGAGATTTAAATAGTACGCTACATTAGTCATTCGGTTAGATCACTATGTGTCCGAGATTCATACCAATTTCATTTACATGTCATTTGAAATTCTAGATCAATTCTATCCAACATATATTTAGTCGTGCAGTCGATGATGGAAAAAGACGATTTGAATGAAATGAGCATGAAAAAGTTGAAACGTCATCGATCAAATTCAACTAATTTAGTAATATAATTACCGTCATATATTGTCAATATTGTTGTTTTCATTTGCTTCATAGAACCAGCCTGTTATAAATGATGTGGCCATTATTGCATCAGATATGACTAACATATCCACACCACGTGATTACATAACAAGAGAAGTACAAAGCATTATACCAACTGTTCTGGCGACTAACCCAGTATCAAATGTGACTGTTGAGCGTTATCCGAGGCTGATGCAACTATTTGAAATCATACCATCGTATCCTTCTAGCAACAAAATGTCAAGTGA